GACAAATAGGGAAAACATAAGGAAAAATAGTCGACAAAGAAGGAAAAATAAGGAAAACACGTCAACACATAAGGAAAACTAGTCAACACAAGGAAAACTAATAAAACAAATAGTCGACAAATAATGAAAACATAAGGAAAATAATCTACAAATAAGGAAAGCCTAAGGAAAAAAACACCTAAGGACAAATAAGAAAAAACTAGTCAACAAATAAGGAAAATTCAGAAAAATATAAACATTACAAATAGATAAATAAAACAATTATGGAAAGATTGTTTAAAATAAGTCACCAAAAATATAGAAGACAGTAGACAATAAGGAACAATGATGGAAAACAGTCGACAACTAGATCAACAACTGAATACATCGGTCCTTATGGCGGCGGTGGTCGCTTCAAGGAAGAGCGGATGTCACCTTCTGCCTGCTTGGAAGTCTTTCGTCTTTTTGCTTCCTCCCTGTTGGTCGAAATGATCTCAAACTCCCTTGCCTTCTTTTCTTCTTCGCTTTTGGCTTTCTGTTCTTGACTCAGTTTGGTGACTTGAGATGCAGTCAAAGACACCCCCTTCTCACCTGCACCAACCTCTTCGACTATCTCCTCTACCTCATTCTGTGTGCCTAGTTCTTCCGGAATTGGACCATTCCCCTTCTCATTCCCAGCTGTCCTTTCTGTGGGGTCTGCCTTCTTTTGAAGTGCTTCTTGCAATTGTTGAATCTGTTGCTGCATTTTCTTCTTCTCTTCCTCTGCGTCCTCCTTGACCTTCTTTGCTTCTGCCTCTGCCCGTGTCCTCTTTTCCTCGAGCTCTTTTGCTTCTGCCTCTGCCTGATTCTTCTTTTCCTCAAGCTCTTTTGCTTCTGCCTCTGCAAGTTTCTTCTTTTCCTCGAGCTCTTTTGCTTCTGCTGCTGCTTTCTCCTTTGCTTCCTGCTTTTCCTTCTCAAGCTGCTGTTGCTTCGCCTCTGCATCCTTCCTTGCCTGTTCTGCTGCTGCTGTGGCGGCCTGGAGCTGCTGCTTCGCCTCTGCATCCTTCTTTGCCTGCTCTGCTGCTGCCGCCTGCTGCTGTTGCTGCAACGCCTCTGCTTCCTTCTTTGCCTGATCTGCTGATGCTGCTGCTGCTGCTTCAGCCTGCTTCTTCCTTTCATCTTCTTCCTTCTGTGCCAGATCTTTTTTCTGCTTTTCCTCTGCCTCCTTCAACTTCTTCTTTGCCTCAACCTCCTCAGCGGCCTTCTTTGCAACCCTTGCTGCCTCCTCAGCATCCTTTGCTTTCTGCTGGGCCTCTGCAATCTCCTTCTCTTCTGCATCTTTCGCTTCCTGTTTGAGCTTGGCTTCCTCTGCTGCCTTCTGATCCGCCTTTTCCTTCTTCAACTTTGCTTTGGCCTCACTCAGCATGAGCGTGTGGTCCTCGTCCTTGATTGCTTCGAACTTGAGCTTCTTGATCCACTGCGGCTTGGCTGCAGCTGAAGGTGAATGTAAAAACACATCACCTTTGTGCTTTCCCTCACCCAAATGCTTGATGATCTTCCAATCAGGACAGGCTGTGACCACTGAGCCCTCAAGCTTGTCTGACCCATGGAATAGAAGAAAAAACTCTGCCATCGGACACGTAGTTCAGCGTATAGCCCTCCACATGATCCTGCATAGTCCGCAGAGACAGAGAGTGTGTGCAGTGACCAATGTATATTAAACCAAAATATATATAAAGGTGTTCAAACCCATTATAAACCCGAAACACGCATCACCCTGAAATCCTCACCTCTGAGAGATCGACTTCACATTCATCTTCGTCACTTGAAGGAGGCGCTTCAGGAGGCGAGGGGGTATCAGGTGCAGCTGGCCCAGATCCATCACCTTGAATTGACAATTCAATGATTCTCAACATATATTAAGCACATTGGACAACCCTATTGATTTTGCTGGACACACTCACCAATTTAGTGGCATGGTTAATCAACATGACATATCATTAGTGGAGGGGAAACAACATAAGTAAAATTAAGTAAACATATTCATGTTTTAAATTTACACTGAATCACCAAGAAGGCAAGGACGACCTGCTTGAAGTTCAGTCATCCATCCCTTGCCGCAGTCATTGCAAACCTGTCTGGTAAAGTTGCATCCACAAACAGGCTCCTTGCGTGGAGTGCCTCATCATCAGGGTAGAATTGGCAATTCAAGAGCGTTGCGTTTAATATAGATTCAAACACATGTCACATATTATTAAATCAACAGTGTTTGACTCTGATTGTTTGCATTGTGATCATATTGGGACTTAAACACTGTGCCTTCTTGTTCTGTTGGTGTTGCTGGCGCTGATGACCTTGCCAATGACGCGGGTGTCCCTGGTGCTGACGCTGCTCCTGGCAAAGGCACTGATGCAACCTCGACTTTACTAGAGCTGGAAGCCTTCTCATCCTTTGGCTTGCCCTCAACTTCTGCTGCTGCCTCCGCTTCTTCATGCTTTTGAAAAATGTTCACGCAGCGCTCAGACACCTTCCCGTCTGACACAAATGGGATGCCGCTGGGCTCTTTGAATATCTGCTGCTTCCAAGCTTTGGTGGGGTCCAATGCAACTTCGTTCTTCCCACACTTCAAAATGAAGTTCTTGCCACGTTTCTCCAAGGTGAAGTCAAGATTCTTGCTCATGTCAGCCTCCACATCAGCAATGACTTCTTGCAAGGACTTGTTGGAGCCTGGCCTTCCCAAATTCGTGTACTCCAAGATCAGGTCGGCCCTGATTTCACCCTTCTTCTTCCTGGGGATGCAGTGATTCATTTGTTCATTGTGGGAAAATAAGGCATATGTTTGGACTTAAATTGAACACTAAAACAAATCAAGGGCGCTAATTTCATGTATTTTAGCCAGGTGAGTTCTGTCTGGGCGCTTGCCAGGGAACTGCCGGAAATATCCATAAAACGCTCGCCGCAGCTCTCTTGATGTCAACTTGGCCAGCTGCAAGGAACTAGCTTTCGTAGGCTCTGCAGTGCTCATGAAGTCGCGGATGTGGAACTCCTTAGTCGCAAATTTGCTGAGTATGTTTTTTGGGCAATATAAAATGTAATGTAACAATAATATCTCAACCCAGCCTACTAAACTGAATCAACCTTACCACAAAGAAACTGGAACAGTCTTACAGAACTTGAACTCAAGATTCTGGTACCTGCCGCCAGGATTGGTAGCGAAAAATCATGTCGTCTCCCTTGGATGACTTCCTGGACTTGGGTTCTTTCTTTTTCTTTGTCTTCTTGACTGGCTTTTGTGGTTCCTCCTTCTCAGTATCTTTCTCCTTACCCTTCTCCTTGCCCGGCTTTGCTGTTTTCTCCTGCTTAGCTTTTGCTTTCGCCTTTGCCGCCTTATTCTTAGCTGCCTTGCCTTTTGGTGTTTCCTCAGGTTCAGACTCTACTTCCTCTGAACCAGATTGGGAAGCATTCTCAGAGTAACTTCCGTCCTCTGAGTCAGATTCCCCTTCATCACCTTTGGAATACTTCAGCTGAAGTTTGGCCATTACAGCAAAGATTCAAATCTTTGACTGGTGCACTAGCCGACTAGCCTACCCAGGCACTCAACTGATCCGAAAACCCTTTCAGAAAAAACACAGTTGCAGTTGCTGACAGACTGAGTCGAGTGAAACTATGCAGGCAAGTTCAATTCACGTGATGCCTTATTGATGTAGTCCTGACACGTGCGCATTTTCTCCCAAGTCTGTGCTGATGGGTTTGCTACATTGACAATATCTACTGAGGCCAGTTTTATGGGTTCATCAAGCAAAACTACGCAACACTCTAGGTCAGTGTTTCTGATGCGATTCGACGATGAGTCTGTCCGTCCGCAGTATTTCAAAAGACTATTGTAACTAAAAACATCAATCAACCAGCCTCTGTCCTCTGTCCAAAACGTCATTGGGATACACTGTCAATTAGTCCATTGGTCGAAAGCATGCCAGTGCCAGCAATTGGGCAATGGCAACTGTAGTGAAGTGCATCCCATTCCCAGCCAAGTCTGCGGCGCGAAAGATATCTCTCGCAGGAACCATGTCACAACACATGGCCTTTGCCATACATGGTGTGACTGGCCAAGCAAGTGCGGCTAATTTCTCTCTGGCAACCATAAACCTCTTCAAGTGTGGGGACCAGAAAAGTGAACTTTTAACATTACGCCGAAAAGTGCTAATAGTCCTGGACTTAGCACTCCACGTCCGCCAACGCTTTGGGTTGTCACCCAAAAAAGCTATGAGGTCAGGATCAGACTGAGCTGGCTTGCCATACTCCTGTTCATACAGGTTCATGTAATCATTCAGGGCTGCTTTCTCTCGGGAATTCAGCAAAAAGGTCAGATCAGCCCTGTTTGAAGGTTTGCGCAGGTCAATGCTAACTTTGCGTCGGTCAGCCAATTGAATTGCTTCCCGGTCAACTTCGACTTGCTCTGCCAGAAAGTAATCTGATGGAAGAGTCCGAACCTTTGATCTCATTCGATCAGCAATAATGTCTTTCATTTCCCAGGGGTCATACAGGCAAGAAGTCTTGTCCACGTGACTTCCGATGACGTAGGTACGATCCCGTTTTGTCCCTCCGTGCCCAGTATCAGCCGTTGAAAACATCAACTGCCACAGGTCATAGGATGGATGGCACTCCTCGACCATACCCATGTCCAATTCCTTACTTATTGAAAGTTCAGTCTGTGAGTTAGTCTGCGGCTGTCAAAAACTTCAATACGGAAGCAAACAGTAATCCTGCGTTACGTTATTATAAATTATAGTTAAGGGCAAATTAAAGCTTGTTGAATTTCATCTGATAGTCTGGTGTGCATTCAATGACAAAGAGTGGCGCACGCATGGATTCAGTGTACTTTCCGTGCGTCATGTATACACTGTTGGTTGCACCATGCCGCTTTAATTGAGCACCAGCACGGGACATATCAGTGCAGGGTAATCCAGAAACCCCAAAATCTGCATATGGAATACTGCATCGGTTCCCTGGTTCTGAACCAGTGACCACATGAGTATGGGTGTTGCAAAGTTGGCTGGTTGCAAGATCTCCATGACTGATCTTAGCCCTTTTCTGGATGTAGGTGTCACTGCGTTTGAATGTTCCCGGCACGTTCAACTCCAGGATGTCATTGAAGAAATGCGGCATTTCATGATCCTTGCCTGTGACCTGGCAGCACCACCGGTGATTGTCGAAGAGCAACTGGTTGCAGCTGGGAGCGCTTTCCTGAGTACATAGTGCATAGTGATGGGAAGCCGGTTGATGGAGTCAGAGACAGACAGCTGCACTGCACATACTCTGAACACGTTTTGAAGGCTTTATAGTGAAATATGTTTAATTGTCACCAAAGACTCCCACAAAGCCACTGTCTTGATGTCCATCTCTAAGCCAGAAATTGGATATGAGTGAACTAGTTTCTGCAGCACTGCCCTAGCTGACTCTGCAGTGCCAGCACCAGAACACATAGAGAATGCCGTTCTTGCTTGGAATAGCCATGAATCCTGCCAACGGTCAGTGTCAGACAATGGGGTTAGTAACAATACTTGTCTTGGTAGCATGTCAGTTTCTCCAGTATTATAAACAGAGAGACATCCAGGCAAAATAACATCCTTCAATCTGTGATACTCGTATTTCTTGGCCTCCAGGTTTGGGATAGTCTTCTTGGCCAGGCTCCATCCAACAGCAATTGAGTTGGAGGCAAGTGACAGGCGATCCCAAGACTCCTCCTGAAAGGGCTCATGAATCACGGGTATATTTAATTTAAGAGGTCAACTAAACTCCGTTCCGAGCGTATATAATTATCTGTTTCCAGTCTCAACAGATTCAATGAAAGGATTTTACAAAACCTGGCCTCTTTCTCAACACTCAGGGCAAGAGACCTGTGGCAAGAAGAAGTTTCATCAGATCTATTGAAGCCTGAACCATCGTCGCTATCCACTTCATTGCTCCAAAGGTCAAGCGAGGCAGCCATCGTTCCCCACTCAATGCGCTGAAGGCCGGGTTCTGAACCCGGGGAAGCAAACGTACAATATGCTTGACTTGCCATTGTTTAGTTTTGCGTTTTAACTTTAGTGTTTTCCCCTGCAGGTCAGTCCAATTTAATATTGAGCCTGTGGTAGCTAGCAAAAGAAAAGGAGTCTTGGCACGCCATGACAATGACAACTGTTTGGCCCCCACAGGTTTCCAGTGCCACACATCCCCCCTGCACCAGGACCAGAACGGGCCAAGATGCTTGTGGTGGTGAGTAGCAGGACAAATTGATTTCTGGGCCTGCAGGTTTGAATCATGACAGACAAGTCTTGGAATCAGACAGTAGTGCAGCAAGAATATGTTTATCTTCAAGTGGCAATGATACGCATAGCCCTCCAACGGCGCTTTGCCAATGGATGTTCCATCAAAAGCGACCTGACACCAATCAATTCAGGTGCCATTGTAATGTAATTCTGTTAAATTCAGACTTGAATTGTGTTGCTTCTGGAGTTTTACTTGTTTGGCACTTCCAGATTCTAGTGACGACCAAGGGGATGACGTGACGATGAACCTCAGGGCCAAATTCACGACGGGCCGCGCATAGATAGGCAGCCTTGGTTTCACTGGGGATTGATTGGTTTGCAATGCTGCAATTGCAAGACTAGTCAACCCACTAGGGAATTTGTTGGCCAAAGGAACACAATATCTCTCTGAAGTTAGGTTCACTGAATTGGCGACTGTAGCTTTGTTTGCTGTCTTGAAGGACTCTGATCTCCGGAACGCACCCGACAGAAGATGTTCCTTAGTCAGTGCTGGCAGGACCACCCTATACCATACTAGACTCTAGACAGACTGGCGAGACTGATACGTTACAAAATGAATGAGAAATATGTTGTATTGATTGAGACAAAATTCCACATGCTCCTTCACACATCGGATAATTGACCAGAGTGTAGTGGCATTCACACGGCGCCTGAAGCGAAGGGGTGTCCTGGTCTTCCTTGCAGACAATGAAGCCAGGTCTGCAAAATTCCTGTCCTGGATGCAGTGGCGAACAAATTCATGATTGGGTTTGGGCTGTGCTACAGCAGCGGCAGAAACTAGCTCAGTCAGAGTCAGAGAGACCAACAAAGCGCGCGTCCAAGTTTCTAGAAAAATTGCAGCTTGAGCAAGTAGTCGCATACCAGATTCCCGGATTTGCTTGGGGCTATTCCTGAGTACAATACATGTTATTAAAGTAAATTAAATTCACACCAAGTCAAAACTTATGAATAAGAATTGTTAGCTCCAACTGGTTGTGGCGGCTGAGGCTCACGTCCAGGCAAAATACCATCCAAGAACTCACATCAATGAAGTCACCCCATCTTCCAGCCACCCAAGATTTCTCTGGGTCCTGCCGTGGTCAAACGTAGGAAATATTACATTCAGAATTCACTGACGACCTTGGAATCTGTGGGACACATCTTCAAAAAGTGGACACCTGTCCTGAGCGTCATGGTTCCAAGCTTTCTTCAGTTTTCTGAACACTGCTGCATCATCCGCAACAGCTGCTGCCAACACGGTTGATGGAAAGGTTCCACTTTGTGTGATTGGAAAAGGTGTTTCTTCGCCATCAACGGTCAAAATAATCTTCCACTGACCGCTTAGGACCACTGTTTTCAACAAGTTGTTCAAGAAAACCGATGCTGCGTACCGATATTTCTGTGAACTTCGGTGCTGTGCAATGTGCGCACATAATGAGGACATCAACAGAGATGTAGGGATGGTGGAAGACACAAAGACGGCTGAACTTCCTGAAGCCCCCTTCTTAGCTGTAGGTTCAAGAAGCGTAGGAACCTCTGTGCCAGGCCAAAGTTTCTGATGCATTTTCTTCCAAGTCTCCAAATTTCTGCCCTTCCATTTTCCTAAGTCACCAATTTGTCAGTTGCGGGGGTGGAAGTGATGATTCATTCATGCTTACGTTTAAGTCTACATTGCCAAAAAATCAAGAAACTATGCTGAACTATTGGTTTTAGGGTCGTGCTTTTTGCTGTATTTCAGCAGTTGTAAGTTGATTTTTCTCGTTTTCGTGTTCGTCATCATTCTCAAAGTTCTTCAGGGATTGGTAGAACTGGGATATAGACCATTCACATTGCCTTGATGCATCTTTGGCCTGCCAGCCAATCAACGTCTGCTGTCCCACGTGCAGGAAACCTTAGTTTTTCTTTACATACCAGTCTCTGATTCAAGGCTTCCTTGTTTCTTTGGAAATAATTATTCAGGATCCTTTTTTTTTCAGCCGTTCTTCCTTTTCTCACATGACTTACAAATTACAATAATGCTTTCCAGCAACTCTCTTCTCCATATGGGAACTCCGACATCACAGTCGAAATTGCAGCATGACCACTCCAAGGCCAACGCCGATACACTTGAACCAACAGCTTCTTAGCATTTATGCGTTTAGTTCATTTCTTTGCAGCAAAGATGACAATACGCGAAAATTAAGACAAAATAAGGGAAAATAATGCACATATATACTGTTAAAGAAAAAACAAAAAATACAAAAAATAAAGGAAAATAAGAGCATTTAAGA